TGCGCATCTGCTTTAGTGATGTGTACAAGAACTTTTTTGGTTGACTATTGTACTCATGCCAGTTACAGATTGATCATGCTGCGTGCTGAGTAGTGAGGGTGGCTGATACTATAATGCTCTTGCCATTTCTCTGCTCATGAACTCTCAAGAATTGAGAATATTCCTTTCAGACTACCGAGTGCTGCTAGCTCTGGTGGATGAGTCGATGATTCTAACTACTGAGTTGGACAAGTTAGCGGCTGCCAAGGGCTTTGTGTTTCTGGTAGTGCCCTTTGTGGATTGGATGTTTGCCTGCAGGCAATTCAGTTAGTTTTTGGAGATTTGAATTGCACATGTTTGATGTGATATCGTAGCATAGCTAGTGGTACCATACCATGCTTTTTTTAGGCGGAAGGAGGAATGTAGTTTTTGTCGAGCGGCACCCTGAGCTGCTGATGTTATAGTTATACGAGTACCAATTTCTGTTCTATGCCCATCAATTTTTGCTTTGCTGTTGCTGTTGGGCATGACAAATATTGTGAGGGCTATAAGATTATTCATGATGATTTTTGTTTGCTGTGATTTAACCTTCTATGAATTGCAGAGAGAAAATATGGCACATTCTGTGGATTGCAGACTCTTTGTTTAGTCAGACCCTTTTCTTGTACTAGAGTAGATTTGTGTCGAAACAGAAAAGACCACGAATGGCTTCCGGCCTATCAGTTGTGCTGCTGCGCCTTTTTTTTCTTTTTGACTCTTCTGTTTGTCAGTGAACAATTTTTTCTCTATTTTTACTGTTGTATTTGTAAGAGTTTTCATCGAGTTGTCCTTTTCCATTGACACTTTTTTTTGCATGAATTGTTTCTATGGGGCTCTATCTGAATGCAACTGAGGTACACCCAAGCCCGATATACAAATGATTAAAGGGTAATTTCATATCTATGCGAAAGATTACCTTTTGCTTAGGCCAACACTTATATATTGCTAGCACTAAGTTTACATCATAGTATACACTCTAAATTTTTGTACTTGGTGATGTAATTTTAGTATATCTTGCTAATGTGGCATTTTGTCTCTGGATCTGCATTCTTTTGAAAATATAATTTGGATAATATGTTTCTTCTATGAACAATGTGGCATATATGTCTTCAAACTTGTTGGTTTATTACTTTTGTGGCATATATGTCTCTAGGATCTGCTATTTCTTGCTTAACTCTTTACGGTTTGCACTTCAATTCACCAAGCAGAGTGAAAGAGCATGTACACTACTAGTAGTTCATATATAGCAAGCTCCACTTGTAACAACAATGCTAGTGCATGTTAAGTAGCTATTTCTGTGCTACTTGTAACAAAGTGTCCTTTGCTCGGATGCACCCTGAGCTACTAGATGCAGCAACTATTTTAATTTGCATTTTTTATGTGGGTGGACGGATTATAGTAATATAATGCATGAGGAACAATTCATCCAAAACCAGATGCAGCAACTATTGATTTTTTTTGTTGCCTTTTGAGGGCCTCAAAGCTTTGATGAATATGCTTTTTTCCCTTTGTGGGCCCCAAAGCCAATTGATGTGGTTATTGATTAAGCTGCTAGAGCTTCTCCTCAATAGTTGTGAAGCTGCTAGAATGCTGGAATAGTTGGTAGTATTTGATTTGTCTAGGAGTAGAATGTGGAGTTTTTTTTAGCTGTAGTTTTTTGTTGTATTTTGCCTTCTGAGTGTGTCTGTGTGTGGGTTCTTTGTGTGTTTGGGTGTATGTGTGTCTTAGAAGGTGGGATTTTTTTAGCTGTAGTTCTTTTTTGTCCTTTGCCTTCTGAGTGTGTCTGTGTGTGTGTTCTTTGTGTGTGTGGGTGCATGTGTGTCTTTTTGTGTGCCTCTCTCTCTCCCTCTGTTTGTGTGTGTGTCTGTGTGTGTCGGGTTTTTTTTTGTGTGTGTTTGCTCTGTTTTTTTTTACTTTTTTTATTTTCCGTTTTTTGCTTTTTCTTTTGGCATTAGCTGTATTTTTCAGAGTTGAGTTATGTTTATCTCTCTGTGTATGTGTCTCTGTCTTTCTCTGTGTGACAGCTGCCGATGCCTGCTGCTACTACTGATTAAGCTTTTTGGCCTTGCTATTTGTCTTTTGCCTTTTGAGGGCCCCAAAGCCTGCTGATTGAGCTTGTACTGTTGTTTTTGCAGTTTCATGCTGCTTGCTCCTGATGCTGATTAAGGTGTTTTTTATTTCTCTTGTCTTTTGATTGCCCCAAAGCTTGCTAATTTTATTTTGTAGGTGTATTTTTTAGATTTTTATTGCTGTGTTGTGCAGATGTACTTTTCTTTTTCTTTATTCTTTTCTATTTCTTTTTCTTTTTCTTTTCCTTTTTTTCTTTTTCTTTTGCCATTAGCTATAATTTTCAGAGTTGTGATTTGTTTATTTAGTTGAGCTGAGTGTACATTTCTAGCTGCTCTTTAGAGTTGATATAATTTTTTTATTTTTATATTTGACTTGTTTGTTGAGCAGAGTTTTTTTAGCTGTTATATTTTGTAAGCTTGTTTTTTTTTGTGTAGCAAACTGTCAGTCTAATCGGTAGTTTCATCAGATGTGTGTTTGTTGTTTTTGTGCGTCTCTCTTTGTGTGTGTGTTTCGTGTGTGTTTGTAAGCGTGTTTTTGTGTCTGGAGCTGTGGCGTTATTCTTTATAATTTTTTTCTGATTAAGCTTTTGTTGCATTTGTTGTTGCTGCTGCTCCATTTGCTGCATGTGAACTTTTGTAGCTGTTTGTGTTGTAGCAGTTTGTTGGATTTTTTTTCTTATGCCGTGTGTGTGTGTGTCTGTGTGTGCGTGCCCAACATTGTTTTTTTTCCCATACAAAATATGTTCATGTATTGACTCACCATATGCCTGTATCAATGCCATTTTCAAAATTTGTCCTCTTTCTGCAATACCTTTGCTTTAATATACTCTACGACAGGGCTCTGGATGATGGAGGATTGTCACCTGGTTGCATGGCTGATTCTTTTCAGATGTTTGGGTAAGGCAGCCTATGCTGCTCTCTATGCAATAGCACGGAACCTTTCGCTTACGTTCAGAGTAATGCAATTGCTCTTTCTTGTTAATTTATTTTCTTTTTCTGTTTGTAATGGCTTCTTGTTCCTATTTCTTTTTTCTACCAGCTAATTGTTCTTTTGATTTCCAGTGCTTTCAGCCATTTGCTTCATGACAACCCATTGCCTCCTGATGAGGTTTCAGCTTTAGAATTGTTGGTGTAATTTTCTCATGGACACCCCGAAAGCAGCCAGGCACCTTTGGTGGGCCTCAAGTTATCAATGGCTGAAGTTGATAGAGGTTTTGTTACATTGGTTGCTTCTGACCATTCAGAATTTGAGGTGTGAAGTTGCTCATCCTGTAACTCTTTTCTAATCTTTATCCAGAATGACACAAATAAAAAAGTTGTGCCTGAATCTAGTGTTACTTTTGGTGAAATGCACTACTGTTTTTGTATCATCCTCCTGTTTAGTCAGTTAGTGTTTTCTTCCCTGGTTTGTATTTGACTGACTTCGTCACTATGCCTTGTCACTAGTGCTTTTTCATCTTTTTAATTCCTACTGTTTATCTTGTTTTGCAGGTTTGCAACCCAAATGGTCATTGGTACCTAGCAAATGCGGGCTCAAGCCCTGATGTCCTATTGCTTTTGACTGGAAGAGCCTTGTCATGTTACTGCTGGTCTACAGCTAAATTCTCAGTACAGGATCACTAATAATGAAAACAGGTGAGAGTTGTGGGCTGCTAGAAGGATTGAAGTTTTCCGCTGCCATATCATTTATTTTCTTTCTCTTTTATCTTCCAGGGCATCACACTCATGTTTAGGCTGATGCCTCATGCCAATGCTATATTGTGTGTGTGTGTGCGCGCGCTTGTGTGTGTGTCTTTGTTTGGAGCAATCTATGACTATGGAGGATGTGTTTTGTTTTTCTGCGGTCACTGAATAGATGTGTTTGCTAGCTTTGATGTGTTTGGTATTTTAGCTTAATGGTCTCTAATTATAGAATTGATGACTGATGTTGGTATTGTATGTGCTTTTCATTTCATTTCATTTCTTTTTCTTTTTCTTTTTTTTTCCTTTTTTCTTTTTCTTTTTCTTTTGCCAATAGCTGTATTTTTCAGAGTTGTGATTTGTCTATTTTAGTTGAGCTGAGTGTATGTTTCTAGCTGCTCTTTAGAGTTGATATTTTTTTTAATATCTGTTTGTTGAGCTGAGTTTTTTTAGCTATTTTTTCATAGTTGTTTGCTAGATTTGATGTGTTGCTAGCTCCTTTTTTTTCAGTTAAACTATATGCTGGTAGTGAAGTTGTCACCGTGTATGTGTGTGTGTGTGTGTGTGTGGGCTTGTGTATCGGTGTGAGGTTTTGTGTGTTTTTGTATTTTGCTTTTTCGTTGTGGTTTTTTTCTTTGGTTGTGCCTAATTTTTTAGTGTTTTTAGCAAGCAAAGGATTGGGGATTCAGTGGTGTAATGTTAAGAGGTCGTGCGACATGAAGATATTGATAGCAATATGGGGGAAGTTCCCATCAGGCAACAACGGTTCTGGGTCTCTTTACTGCACCTCCTAGCCGGGAAGATTCATAGGATACTTCTGCTCCTATTTGTACACTTAGTTGATTATAGTCAAGATCTGTGTGTTGGCTTCAATTTGTTCTCGCCTTTTTTTGTGCAGTATCTTCCCCTTCTCTTAACTAGAGTTCTGAACCTTATTTACTATTACAGAAAAAGGGCAGGCCAAATCTGCCAGGATCAGGGATAAGTACCCCGATAGAATCCCGGTAAGATATGTTCAACATTTTCCCATGCATTTTTTTATGCGTATGCTTGATTGCTGATTTTGTCATCAATGTTTTTCAGGTGATTGTTGAGAAAGCTGGCAGGACTGAAGTCCCTAAAATTGATGAGAAGTAAGTTGTCATCTAGATATCTCCTATGTTCTTCTAGTAGTTTGTTAATATGTTTGCTTAAAATCTCTGTGTGCAACCATAATCTGCATGCTGGTCATATTTAGAAGATATACCATGGTGAAGCAAGCCTGTGTTTTTCCATGTCTTTTGATTGGGTTCTTAAAAACATGACTAATGTGTAACTTTCTGTTTTGGGATCTTGTAGCAGCTTGACTATGGCCTGGTTGAATGCCAGGCCTTGGTCCTTGCTCCCACCCATGAGCTTGCTCAGTGAATTGAGAAAGTCATGCACGTGCTTGGTTGTAGGCTGCAGCGTAGCTTGGTCGTTGTCCGTACGATGTCCCGTCGCTCCCGACGGCTCGGCACGGTCAGCACACCCACGAGCAGGTCGAGCTCCGGCTGCCGCGGTGGCGTCGGGGACGGCGGAGGCCTTCTCGTCGGCGTCCGACACAATGGAGTAGTAGCCGCCGTCGTCGGTGCTCGCGCCGCGGCAGAGCATGCCGAGGCCCTGGGAACGGGCGTGGGAGGAGCTGAGGCTCTTGAGTGCCAGTAGCAGAGCGAGGAGGCCCAACGGCACCATGAGGAGGTAAGGCGTGCAGAGCGAGGCAGTGTGGAGCTCGTGCGATCGAAGTGGTTGACTGTTATTGGGTTTTGGATCTTTGTGCTATTGCTAATGGGTATTGCAAATCTATCGACAGAATATCGTCGGTAGTTGTCCGAGGGGTATCCCACGAAGGTAGATTGATCGACAGAGATGTGTGTAATCGAGAACAAGAAGGCAAAAGAGAAAAAAGAGTTACAAGAGTTAGATAGGTTCGGGCTATCAGCGCGACATAATACTATACTCCTGTGGCCTGTTGGATTGTATTGGCTATGATTTGATATTGCGTATGTTTTGAGGGGTCCCTGCTCGCCTTATATAGTCTGGGGGGCAGGGTTACAAGTCGGTTAGATCTAGGAGATAACCGGAAAGTAATAACAGATTACATGAATCATAGGATCAAACGTATCCTAATAGACCTCGTAGTATCTTCAGGATATTGTCCTCGATGTCTTGCGGTGCACGCCGAGCAGTGCCGTGCACCATAGGTCTTCGTCTTGTGGGCTGGACCGCATCTAGGAGCGTAGCCCATGTAGTCTGTCGTGGGTATTCGGGGTCGTACCCCCCACAACTAGTCCCCGAGCGCCTTGTATCCGTTGTTTAAAGCCGTCTTGTGCTTGTCCGAGCAGGTGTAAATGAAGCCGAGTAGTCAGACTCATGGTTCGACTACCATAATGAGTCGCCGAGCAGTTGTGGACCGTAGTCGACTAGCTTAACTGTCCGATCGAGCACGAGCTTTCCTAAGTAAGGGTTGCCAGAAGGATGTAAGGAGCTCAAGTTCAAAATCGAAAATTTCCTCGCAGTGGACCAAGTGTGCCCACTTAGAGTCCGATCACGAGAAAGGGAGATAGTCTTCTTTAATTTTAGGAGGCGCGGAGTCTTTTGGATAAAGCAAACACACTCACCGCAAGGTGAAGTGTGTCAACTTAGTCCTCGAGCTTGACAGTAGTGACGCAGTCACGTGGTGCCAGGGTCCAAAGTAGAAGAAAAGCGGAAGACCAGCCGAGCAAACAGCCAGTCCTTGGGCGAAGCCCTAAAACGCACATTCACCGCAAGGTGAAGTGTGCCCACTTAGTCCCCGAGCCTGACAGTAGGTGACGTGGTCACGTGGTGCCAAGGTCAGAAACAATAGTAACCAGAATAAAGTCCCCAGTGTGGTGAGAAAGCAAGTCATAATGATGACGTAGTCCTCGAGCCACAAGTGGAAATCTCGAATAAATTAAATCATGGAGAAAAAGCCGGAGTAATGGCTGTATAGTAGAAATTACTGAGCCTTAATGGTATTGTGGAGAAGTCTGCGAATATTCAGTGTGCAGTTCCAAGTCGCGGCGAAAAATGGGCGATATGGGCTGCAGTTGCACGGAAGCCCAGATAATGGCCCACCACACCGCTTCGCGGAATTTGGAGAGGCGCAAATCGTGGTGCGGTTTTCCAAAAACCCTTGAATGCGAAAAGTGGGTACGGTTTCTTTATAACTGCGCCGTCGCACTCTGTGCTCCCACCTTTGCCACTTTGTCTTCCTCCTCAACCTTTGCGCTCCCCATCCGCATTCACACGCGCTTCCGCCACCAATCCTAATCCAGATCTGAGAGATGGCGCCGAAGAGGGATTGTGGTAACCCGAAGAAGGCGGCCGCTAGGACGAGCTGTGACAAGGAGTGGGTACCGTCCCTGATAGGGGAGACGGAGCTCAACGAGATGGTGGCGGCGGGCGTTCTCCTTGAGCGAGTCATCGTCGGATGGCGTTCGGCCAACGATGAGCCCTATACAATGCCCTATACAATGCCGCATATCAGGGCGCCCGGTGGTTTGCGGAGGAGTCGACCACCGCTGTCGGGGGAGTCGAAGGCGGAGAGTAGGCGGCGACGCTAGGAGTAACGGCGAGAGCCGTCGGGTCTTGGGAGGCGGAGGCTTGGGCTGCTGACGCCGTGCCGGAGTCTAGGGCGGAGAGGCCGACGGTGCTGGAGGAACAAGTGGCGTGCCCTGATATGTCGCGGGGCGTTGTCGGACGCTTTGTGCGGCTTCCGAACCCTTAGGGAGCGCCACCGGTTGCGGAGGAGGACGAGGTCGAGGAGATTTAGCGTGAAGAATCTCGACCTCAAGCCGTCCGGATCCTCCGCAAGTGGGGGGATGAAGTGGTGGTCGTGGAAGAGGAGGGCACCACCAGGGAGGTGAGGAGGCTAGAGTCCACCCTTTCCACAGCCATGAAGCAGATCAAGGTTAGTATTGCGTCGGCAATGCCCGTCTTTGGCGTTGGAGAATAGGATTCTTTATAATCTTAGTGCTGTTGCAGGGCATAGCACGAACTGCCACAAAACGGCAGCAGCTGATCAAGAGGATGGAGCCGCTCGTCGAGGAGAACGTGAAGCTGAAGGAGGCGATAAAAATGATGGAGAAAAACATCCAAAGGGCCCTGCGCGAAAGGAATCTTGCCGAATCAAACGCGAGGGACCTGCAGTACCAGAAGGGGGCCTTATCCGAGCAGCTGGAGCACAACTCCGAGCAGCTGAGAAGCGTCTTTGAGCAGAAGAAAGGTACTGCAGATCGGTGAGCTTGCTCTGTAATGCCAAAAAAACTAGATGTTGCTAACGATCGTCACTTATGTAGAGCAACGTGCGGAGCTCAGCCAGTTGCCTTAGGTCGTCAGTCAACTCCAAGAGGAGAGGGAGAAAGCGTCTGGGCGAGCGAAGAAATTGGCTGAGGAGCTGAATGGTGAGTTATTCGTGGTCGGAGTTGTTGCTGATATGATTGCTTCATTTGACGAGTCCCTTTAGTGTCTGCAGAATACCGTCGAAGGACCAAGGCGCATTTCGACGTGCTGGAGCGGGAGGCGCAAACCTAGAGGGGGAAGCTTGATGCCGTGGTGGCCGGAGTCAGGCCCGTGCTTGACTGCATCGACATGGAGGCAGCTCCTCAGCCCGACGACAGGCCGCCACTTTCGGACGCCATCATCGACAGGTGCAAGGCGGCATGGGAGAACTTCAAGAGCTTCAACCGCGACGCCACTGTCTCCGTTGCGACGCTCGCCCTGGCGGTGGTCCGGTCTCATTACCCTGCGATCAACCTTCAAGCGATAGGGGTCGGATTCGCCAGAGGGACGGGTGCGACGAGGCAGGAGCAGCTGAAGGACGAGGTGGAGGACGCGACGAAGAAGCTGGCCGGCGACGTCGATCTGTTCGGCGAGGTGGACGGTGAAGGCCAAGCGCAATGACCTGATTGGAGAGGAACCTGAATGTAACATCTGGAGAGGAGAGTTAGATGCGCGAGGGCATAAGCAAACACTTATGTATCTTTATAAATGTTGTATGTAGACATGTGCATGTTTATGCGTCTTGCTAACACTTTTGGTGAAAAATAGATGTATTGTTAACCCTAACGTAATTATACTTGGTATAAGTAGCGTCTGAGCAGTTAGCTCATTACTGGGCTCTTGGCCTTGGCTAGCTCGTATTCCATAACGTCGAGCGCGGAACCCGTGCACGTGTAGGAGGAACAGACGTGACCAAGGAACCACAGCCGACCACCCATAACGCAGAGCGTGGAGCCCGTAGCATGTGTAGGGAGAGATAAGAGACTGGGTTTTCTCCAAAGAACACAGAGCAGAGCGTGTGCTGCTCGGTGGTTGGCGAAATATCATAGAGATATTTTGGTATAGAGAAACGTGGCGGAGCATATATGGAGATCCCGTATAATTGTCGGAGTTCGTTAAGGAGTAGCTTCGAGCTGGCTACTGCAAATGAAGATTAAACCGGAGCGGAGAAATAATGGAGACAAATTATGGCGACAAAAACTTCATTCATCATGGAGTGGAGAGTACATATCTGGAGCGTTTCAAGGATAGAAACGTATAATGTGCTCGATGTGCCACGAATTGGGGATATCGACTCCATCCAAGTCACATAGTCGGTAAGACCCTGGTTTTCTGTTTGACCATGTAAGGCGCTTCCCAGGGGGAGAAGAGCTTGTGCATCCCTTCGGTTTTCTGTTTTCTACGGAGAACGAGGTCGCCGACAGCAAATGAGCGACCTTTGATGTTGTGATTGTAGTATCTTCGTAAGCCATCTAGGTATTTGGCTATGCGGATGCTGGTGATCAGGCGTTCTTCTTCGGCTCTGTCGACGTCCTATGTCCGAACAGCTGCGGCTTGCTCTTCATTATAATGTTCCACCCTAGGTGCTCGGAAGGCAATGTCTGCGGGAAGTACGGCTTTTGAGCCGTAGACCAAAAAATATAGAGACATCGGTGCTGCGACTAGCTTGAGTGCGCAGTCCCTAGACCACAGCTGGGAGCTCTTTGAGCCATCTGTTTGGATGCTTTTCCTCTTTCTGATATAGTCTCTTTTTGAGGGCATCGAGGATTATGCCGTTCGCCCGTTCGACCTAGCCGTTGACTCTGGGATGGGCAACGGAGACGTATTTGACGGACATGCATCAGTCTTCGCAGAAGTCCCAAAAATGATGACCAGTGAATGTAGTTCCAAGGTCGGTGATAATACTGTTCGGGAGACTTAATCTATGGATGATATATTTGAAGAGCTCGACTGCCTTCTTTGTAGTGGCCGAAACAAGCGACTTGTATTCGATCCACTTGGAGAAGTTGTCGATGGCGACGTATACGTATCGAAAACCGCCTGGCACAGGCTTGAAAGGCCCAATCATGTCCAGTCCCCAGCATGCAAAAGGCCAAGAAGCTGGGATGGTCTGCAATTCCTGCGCTGGCGCGTATTTGCTTGGCGAAAAATTAACATTCCTCGCAACGTCGGACGAGGTCTTCTGCGTCGGAGATGGCCGTGGGCAGTAAAAACCAGCTCGGAAAGCTTTGTCGACTAGGTTTTTCGAGGCCGCGTGATTGCTACAGGAACCACAGTAAATTTCAAGAAGTAGTTTCACTCCTCGGGTGATGCATTTTTGCAGTATCCCTTTGGTACTTTTTCTCATCAAGTTCTCGTCTACCAGCACGTAATGTTTGCTGCGGCGAATG